CCTCACACAATGCGAGATATCGTGATTCCATTATTGGTGCCCTTGAAGGCGGCGACCGAACCTTTACAAACAAGGTTGGGGCAATCTCCACAATTTAATTGAAGGCTCCCAACGACACCATGAAGCTTCACCATAATGGACTATGGCTCCACGGTGACCTCAACCGTCTAGGGTGCTCAAACACCCAAGAGTAACAAGATCTGCAAGGGATTAGTGGGGGAATCAAATTTCTCTTGGTGGAAGTGTAGATTGAGGCCTTCTCAACCAATCCCTAGAGAATCAACAAGTTTGATTGGCTAGGGAGAGAGATCGGGCGAAAATGGAGCTTAGAGCATCAATGGAGCTTGGAGGTGGAAGAGGTAGTCAACTCGGAGAAGAAGACTCCCCTTTTATAGTCAAGGGACGAATCCAACTGTTATCCACTTAACCAGCCCGCGACTTGCGGTACTACCACACCAGACAAGCGGTACTACCGCAAGGGGTTGCGGTACTACCGCAAGGCGGTGCGATACTACCGCACCCACGGTAGACACCAGAGGAGGCCCTTTTGCGTTGACGCTGCGAGCAGTAGAACCACCAGAGCGGTATTATCGTGCGCCCTTGCGGTACTACCGCAAGGCAGGGTTTGACTGGGCTGGGAAGGCACGGATGAATACAATTACATCTGTGACTACTTCCGCTGAGTTTAGATCGGTGCAAAAATCCGACACAGTACTACCACATCTAGGGAGCGGTACTACCGCATAGGGCGCACATGTAAAAAATTACATCCGCCCCTACTTTCGCGCGGGTAACAGTACTGGGCCTGAAGTCACGGTACTACCGCGAGGAGGTGCAGTACTACTGCATCCCCAAAGGGTACTACCGTGAGCCTCTGCGGTACTACTGCTCCCTTGAGCAGTACTACCGTATGCTACAGTACACTACCACTTGGAGTCGTCATTTTGCAAAGACACGGATAACAGAACGGTGCTCCAAGAAGGCAAGGGGAAAGGTGGTGCAAAGGAACAAATGTGTACTTGATGATCCCACCCTAACCTTTCCGAAACAGACCCCCTCTTAATAGTACGGTTTCCCTACGACTCAAATCCACCAAAGGGAAACGTAGAAAAACATCGTCTTCACTAGACTCCGAGGGGCATCGAACCGTCTTGTGCCAACACAGGAGATATCTGAAATGCTGAAAGCACAATAATCCGCAAAAGCATTGTCATTAATCATCAAAACTACTTAAGAAGAAATATGCCCTTACAACAGCTTGTGAAACCCAAACCAATAGCCTCACCGGTTTAGTTAGCAGTCCATTTTCTTAACCTATGATCTAAACCTATCGTTGTCTTAGGACCATAAGTGCGCAAGAGATGGTTGATCACACGAAGTGCAATGGCATCCATCCCATCCATCCCCAAGTACCGTTGCACCTTTTTAAGAAACACTAAGTACAATATATAGACACACAAAACTACTACTAAAGACTATAATCACGGAGCTTTAATACTATAGATCATGATAAAAAATGCATTGACGAGACATCAAATCATCAAAACGCGAGATTGGAGTCGTGGAGATTTAAGATCAATGAAATCACTACTCGCACCTCATTGTCAACAAAATGCTGCCTCACAATAAAAGAAAATCCACGTTAATACGACAGTAAATCGCCAAAACGTCGCCTTTCAATAAAAAAATAATCCGCATTAATGAGACAGTAAACCATCAAAACACGACTCTCCACTACCCACGGAATCACCGCTGGCACCTCGATGTCGACAGAAACGTCGCCTCGCAATAAATAATATCCTATATTACTGAGGTTAAATCCATGATGGACCACCCACCTAACCATCCAACTATGCTGAGATCTTCTCACTCACTGAAAGTGACTGTTGGTAACTGACATGTGGACCCGCCAGGTGGCAGGCCCCACGTATCAGCCACCAAAGTCAGGGCGCGCAGTACACTCCTCACCGAATGTGCGCCCCATCCAACTGAACCTTTTTATGCAACGGGGAAACCAATGCGGCCGAGCAAGG